TGGTGACTAAAATGAAATGACTGACAGGTTGTACCTGACTAATTTGTGAAAGATCAAATAACATGGAAATGACAACATATCCTGGGAGAAGGGTAGTGGGGTGGTGGAGAAAGTATTAGAACAATCTTGTTTGCTGATTCACATAGGTATTCTGCGTACACCAGTTTGCTATCTTACCAATGAAGAACTGGTACGATTCAAGTGGAAATGTGAAAAGTACCTTTAGAAATTTTGAATTTAGGCCTGACACATTGGCTTGTGCCTATAATCTCAGCACTTTGGGAGGCTGAGACAGGGGTATTGCTTGAGATCAGGTGTTCAAACCCACCCTGGGCAATGTAGAGAGACCCCATCTCTACAAAAAATTTAAAAATTAGCCAGGTGTGGTGGCATGCACCTATAGTCCCAGCTACTCAGGAGCCTTACGTAGGAGGATCAATTGAGCCCGGACGGTCAAAGCTGCAGTGAGCTGTGATTGTGCCACTGCACTCCAGCCTGGGTGACAGAGCAAGAACCTGTCTCAAAAAAATATATTGAATTTAATTTCTCAGAGGAAATGAATGTTGTATGATATTCTTATTATTGGAAGGCACATCAACACTAAAAGAAATGTAGCTTAATTAAATTATGAATTTTACAGATGTTATAAAAGAATCATTATAATGTAACCCCAATAGAAGATACCAATTAGATTTTATGTCCCTTTTCAATTCTGGTCCATTGGACATAACTGCCAGGGGTTCTTTGTTGAGAAGGATACTGAGGCAGTGCTTGCACTCAGTTGGAAATAATTAATGATTGATTTACAGTGCCTTCTGTGGAAACCTCCAATGACCTTTACCTTGCTATATCCAATGTTCATTTCTCAGTCCTCATTTTACTTCACCTGTTAGTAATCGTTGTCATGGTTCATCACTCCTTCCTCCTTACCTTTCTTCACTTGGCTACTGGTTCCTTTCACATAGCTAACCACTGTTCTCAGTTTCATTTGCAGATTCCACTCACCTTCCCTCTCTCTTAGAGTTGAAGTATTCCAAAACTCAGTCATTGTAACACCATAGTTCTATCTAAACTTGCTCCTTAGAGCTGCATGGTCCAATAGAAAAATAATGTGAGCCACAAATGCAAGCCACATATCTAATTTGAAACTTTCAAGTGACTTCATTAAAAAAAATTCATTTAAAAAAAGAAACCTCATTTAATTAAAGAAATTAATATATATCTTATTAAACCCAATAGGTCCCAAATATAATCATTTTAATAATATAAAAATAGTATATTTTATTTTAATATTAAATCTTCCAAATCCAATGTGTTAGTTACAGAACATCACAATTCAAACTAGCTAATAGCTGTTGTATTGAAAAGCATGACCCTAGATTATCTCATCCAATTCCTTAATGTAAAATACCATCTACATCCTGAATACTGACTACTCTCACCTTTTTATTTCTAGCTGGGACCTCTCTCCTGAATTCCAGATGAACTAATGTCTACAATGACCTTTATCAGTTCTTGGAGGTGTAATGTGTATGTCTAACTTATGTCCAAAACTGAACACTTGGTCTCCAGATCTGCTCTTCTCCATTTTAGTTACTAGCAACTTCTTCACTTCAGTTGCTCAGGTCAAAAATGTTGGAGTCAACCTTAACTTTTCTTTTTGTCTCAAACCTCATATTCAATCTACAAGTCCTATGTTACTATTGGTTCTATATTCAAAAGCTATCCAGAATCTGATTCGGTATCATTTCCTCTACTACAGTACTATGGCCCAAATTCCCATTATATGGAATTACTGAAATAGCATCCAAACTGATACCCCTTTCTCCTCATAGCAGCCAAATGTCTGTGAACAACATAAGCCAGATCATATCACTTATCTGCTCAAAATTCTCCAGTGGCTCCTAATCTTACCCAGAGTAAAAGCCAAAGTCCTTAGAATGACCTTTAGAACTCTATAGAATCTGAGCCCAGCCATGGTGCTTCACCTGTAACCCGAGGACTTTGGGAGGCTGAGGCAGATGGATTGCTTGAGCTCAGGAATTTCAGACCAGCCTGGGCAACATGGTGAAACCCTGTCTCTAAAAAAAAAAAAAAATACAAAAATAAGCCAGTTGCGGTGGAGTCCACCTGTGGCTCCAGCTATTCAGGAAGCTGAAGAGGGAGGATCACTTGAGCCCAGGAGGTTGAGGTTGCAGTGAGCCAAAATTGTGCCACTGCACTCAGCCTGGGTGAGACAGTGAGGCTAGGAAGGAAGGAAGGAAGAGAGAGGAAAGAGAGAGAGAGAGATAGAGAGGAAGGAAGGAAGGAAGGAAGGAAGGAAGGAAGGAAGGAAGGAAGGAAGGAAGGAAGGAAGGAAGGGGAAGGGGAGGAAGGAAGGAAGAAAGGAAGGAAGGAAAGAAAAGAACTCTACAGGATCTGGCCCCCTGTTACTTTTCTGTCTTCATCTCCTACAATTTCCCTTCTTATTCCACTCTAGCCACCCTCACCTCCTACTCTTCCTTGAAAAGGTCCATCATGGTCTTGCTTGAGGGCCTTTCTTTGGATTTGCTGTACCTCAATTATCTCCATGGCTCTCTACCCACACCTACCACCACCTTGTTTTTTGAGACAGTGTCTCCTGTTTTCTAGGCTACAGTGCAGTGGTGTGATCTGGGATCACTGCTTTGACCTCCCAGGCTCAAGTGATCCTCCCACCTCAGGCTCTGGAGTAGTTAGGACTACAGGCTCCTGCCACCACACCCAGCTAATTTTTGTATTTGTATTTTTTTCTTTTCTTTCTTTCTTTTTTTTTTTTTTAGAGACAGGGTTTCATCATGTTCCCCAGACTGGTTTTGAACTCCTGAGCGTAAGTGATCCGACCCCCTCAGCCTCCCAAAGTGCTGGGATTACAGGGGTGCACCATCTTGCCCAGCTTCTTCATCTCTTTCAAGTCTTTGCTGAAATATCACCGAAAATAATCACTTGAATAAGTGAATGACATTACATGAATGAATGACTGGTATGATGAGATATGACAGAATAGGTGCCATAAGGAAGAGTCAGAGCACTAGTGCCCAATGCTTGCCTTTCTAATAGAAGTTAACACAAATCTAACTTTCAACATTGATTGAACACCCATTATGTAAAACAGACATGTATACGATTGGCTGCTATCAGTGAAGGGAAACATTAAAATAATCTTGTTGCTTTGTTAGGTATTCTTGAACATTTCAGCACATACAAACAGCTGACCTTAGTCACAGAGAAAGCAGTATCCCTTAACAAATAGGAGTATCTTCAGATACCCTGGGGCTTCTCCCTCCTGGGCAATCAGCATCTACACACATAATCCCTCAATCTAGGCAGTATTTAAATCACTGAACTATTGGAACACATTCCTTACTTTTTTTTTTTTTTGAGACGGACGCTCTGTTGCCTAGACTGGAGTGCAGTGGCGCAAGCTCTGCTCACTGCAACCTCTGGCCCCCAGGTTCAAGTAATTCTCCTGCCTCAGCTTCCTAAATAGCTGGGATTACAGGTGTGCACCACCATGCCCAGCTAATTTTTGTTTTTTGTTTTTTGTTTTTTTAGTAGAGACAGGGTTTCACCATGCTGGTCAGGCTAGTCTCAAACTCCTGACATCATGATCCTCCCAACTTGGCCTCCTAAAGTGCTGGGAATACAGGCTTGAGCCACTGTGTCCAGTGCAGTCCTTACTCTTAACTTGATGGGTAACTAAGTAAATCACTTATTGTCTTACTTCTTTTATCCCTATGATAAAACGTCAAATTTCACCTGGTTCCCAATTCAGGTTGAGATAACAGGACAATATACACTTGGCTGTTACAAGTTGGCAGAATGTATGCATTACCGAGCTTAAGAAAAAAAAACTTTTTTAAAGCTAAGATTTCTAAATAAGGGCTATTTAAAACTTATCTTCAGTTTGTGGTAGACTTCAGGTCTTCAGTCTCTCCTTTTTTCTTTTTAACCTCAGTTTTTCACTTAACACCACTTCTATGCTTGAACTCATTTTAGCCTATTTTTTGTTCACACCTGCCAATTTTTCAGTCCAACCTAGCTCAAAGCAACAGAGAAACATGATAAACCTGAGTAATCAGCCAGAGACATTAGTATGTATAGTTCACTCCAGGAGTGGATTTGAACATTGGAGGATAGGGAGAAGAACACAAAGGATTGAGGGAGCACATGTGGGGGAAACAAGAAAGGATGGTGATGCTAAATTTATAAACACTGCTCGATTCAATCCAAAAAGCGTTTATTGAGTGCAGAGTTCTGTGCTGGTCACTTTAGTAAAGCCAAGATGAGCAAGACTCTATGAGTCTCTGTCCTTAAGGAGGTGGGAGTATGAACTGAACTAAGAAGAACACAAATTATTAAAATATCGTTCAGGGTACACAAAGGAAGTCCAAAGAGAAAGAAAGCTGACATTAATTCAAGACGTTTTAATATGCCAGGGCAGTCACGTATATTAACAACCCTTCCAAAAATTCCAGGTTGGCTCATGGACAGGTAACTTGTCATTAAAGCTAGAAAGTTAGTGTAGTCTGGCATTGTCCCTAACCAAGGTTCTGAAGCTCCGGCTCCTTTTCAGAACACTATTGTTAAAGGGAAGCGCGAAGGAGTTGGGGGAGGGGATCAAGTTTTGACTGAATGTGTCTCGGTCGCCGTGGAGGGAACAGGAGGTTAGAAAGCCATTTGGAGGCGTCGTGTGAGATGAGACTACAAGGATAAACCGGAGATTGAGTAGGAACCAGTGGAGGGAAGAGGGAGGGACTTTTCAGGCTAAGTAAGTAATAAGAGCAATTAGGTGCTCTCATAATTCCTTGAGTCGAGGAGTCAAGTAGGGAGAAAAACTGGCGTCAGCCCCGCCACCACCACCCCATCCCCCGCAACTTTTCCACCGGAGCTTTTAGGTGTTCGCCAATTTCACCATTAGCAATGTTGTTTTTGTAACTTGAAGAAAAATAAAACCCTCATGTTTTAATACCACTGGATACCTTGGACGGAGGGTGGGAGTCCGGCCAGGAGCCCCTAGCACATCCCGGTCCCTCCTACCCCTCAGCACGGCCGCCACCTGAGAGTCGTTGATGTTCGGGAAGGACGGTTCCTGTGGCGGGATCCTAGTCGGTTGGAGGCCGGTCCCGGGCCTGGCGGGGTTGACCCGCGACTGCTGGGCCGGGGCGGGGCCCCAGGCGCACCTGCCCGCGAGGCGGCTGCGCGGACAGACGTTCTAACCCCTCCCGCCTCGCCGTGTGTTTACGTGGAGACGAAGATGGCGGCGGCGGTGACGGCGCTTCCCGTGCGGCTGAGGACAATCCTCCAGTGAGCGCGGAGACTGCTTCCACTCCGGGCGGGGGAGCGCCAGGCCGGCTGCGCGCCCTGGGCCGCGGAGCTTGCTGTCCCACCTCCGTCTTAATCGACCTTTCCTTTCTACCCCCGACCATCCCTTAACCCCTGTTTTCCCCTGCCTTCCTCGCAGAGGCCATGGAGGACGAGGAGAGACAGAAGAAGCTGGAGGCCGGCAAAGCCAAGGTAGGAGAGCCCAAGGCTACCGGGCCTGCCGTGGGAGGCGGTGGCTAGCAAGGGGTGGGAGGGGGCCTGGGAAGCGGAGTTCGCCGCAGACCCTGTACACTGCCCGGGAGGGAGGTGCTGCAGGGTCTGCATCTCTCCTCGCCCTCCTTCTTTCCCCTTTTTCCATTTGGGGGACAAAGCCTTGTGCTACTAGCTAGCTGATAATACTTCCGTAGGGATTGAATATTGTGGCTCCTTTCTCGTGAATGGCCAAATAAAACTCCTCTTTTATATTTATTGCTGTAAACTAGTGTTTAATTGTTTCTAAACCTCCGACCTTTCAGTTTTTTTAAGGAGTTTTCTGGGTAGTGCAGGCATTGTGCTTTCCAGGGTGGGGATTTAGGGCTTTTCTTTACTGGGTTGGGGATTTGTGCGCTGATCATCAGCTTGTCTTCCTTAGGTGGCACGCTGGCACTCTTGGGTGTGTGTGATTGGCCTGTGACAGCTGTCTCAGCAGTGGCTTGTGTGTGCCACAAGTGCCAGCTGCGAACTTGGCTTTAGGAGTGTTTTTAGAAGCGTGTCTTTGTATGTTTGTACTTGAAGGTCTTTGTCATGGCATGCGCTTTTGTGTCGTATGGAATGTTAATGCAGTCTATGAATGGAACTTGTGGGGACCAAAAGGTTCCATGTGCCCAGTAACACCTATGGAATTCCTGCTTTAAGTAATTTAGTTGTTATATATCCCTCTGGCAAATCCTGATATGTGTGTGTGTGTGTGTGTGTATGTGTGTGTATACGTGTATGGAAAAGCCTATAAAGCAAACAACACAATACACATTTATATACAGGCATCGTTCATTGGGCTTCATGAGAAATTTGACATATACAAAATATAAGCTATGTAGCATATTTCTTTTGAAAATTACATATTTGAGCATATATTTTGTCTGGCCTCAAAAGCCCACTTACTCCCTTCAATGAAGTCTTCTTTTATAGATTATATTCTTTTTTAGAGATAATTGTTAGCAATCATACTTGAACAAAAAATTGTATTACAGGTAACTGTTTTTTCTCTCTTCCTTTCTTTTCTCTTCCCTGCACATAAACAAAGGAAACCAGGTTAGTGATTTATTATCAATGAAGGGCCATACTGCAGAGAGGCTCAACCCAAGTCTGTTAAGTGAATACACACACACACACACACACACACACACGCATATACACACTAGCTTCATATTTCTAAAATATAATTGGCTTTCCCATAAGCTCCCTCTCTTTAAGGTCCAGGCTTAAATGCTTGTATGTAGCCAGGTAAATTTTTACTTTCGAATCTATACATGGTGGGAAAAGGGAATCAGGGTATCTTTAGAAGCCCAAAGCTTACACTTGGGCAATCTGAGGGGCTGAATAAGCTCTATGCATCTAAGGAAGTAGTGGAGGTAAAGTGTATACTCCCTCCAAAAGCATTGACGATCTGATTAGATGTCTTATTTTTTACCTCAGAATTTTTATTACCTGTCCCCAGTAGTATCTTTCATAAATACATGTGAAGAAGTTCTATGAAACATGGTTTACTTTGGACATACATATTTCATAATAGAGGATTTATTTAAATTGCTTGCAATTGTAGTTGCTTTGGCAAAATACAATTCTAGTTTCTTTGTGTGTTTGTTTTTCAGAATTCTGCATATGGGATACAAACCTTTATAAGATGAATTTTTGTTGTAAAAGATTATCTTCTTTTAAAATTGAGCCCAGTTTTTTCAGTGATATATAAGTCTATGAGACTTGTAAGGCAGGGTATGTTTGCTGCAACGTTAGTTATACAATATAAAAATGCTGACGTTGGGAGCCTGGGGCGGGAGGATTGCTTTGACACCAGGAGTTCAAGACCAGCCTGGGCAACATAGTGAGACTTTACAAAATTTATTTTAAAAAATAGCTGGGCGTGGTGGTGTGCACCTGTAGTCCCAGCCACTCGGTAGTCTGAGGTGAGAGGATCACTTGAGCCCAGGAGTTCAAGGCTGCAGTAAGCCATAATCATGTCACTGCACTCCAGCCTGCACAACAGAATGAGATTCTGTTTCAAAAACAAAAACAAAAAAACTCACTGGAAATAACTTTTAAAGACAACATGAAGAGAATCATTTCAACATGAAGAGAATCATTTTTCTAAGTTATATTAATATGATGGAATATTTTATAGCCATGAAGATTATGAAGACTGATAGGAACATGAAAAATAGTGTAGAAATGACATTATCAAAAATAGTATATATATTATTTCATTGTATAAATGTGTGCTTTCAGATTAAAACCAAAAAACTCTGGATTATAATGTCATTCCGCAAACTTATATTGAACCCCTATTTTATGCCTCGAGGTGGTGACAGTGTCTGCTCTCAAGTTGTTCACTGTTTAATGAGAGAGACAGACTCTGGATGTCAGGCACAAAGAGGGATGAGATGCAGTAGGATTTGGGGGGGATTTTTTTCCCACATTTTGTTAAAATATTTTAAATGCTGCTATCTTATTTTATAGAATTACTAAGAAGGCTCTTACTATCGATACTAATGTACCCTAATATAATGCCTTTCAAATAGTAGTTATACATATTTGCTTAATGAATGAGCAGAATGATTAATGTGTCATTAATAAGCGTTACTTTACTAGCCTGGATATAATTTAATAACAGTAATCTAGAATTCTCTTAATGTTGAAATCCATATTGCTGGCATCAGAAACAACTAAAAATGATCACTTTCCAAAATTTATCTGCGACTTGGTTCTCCAGATGTCTCATTTGTTCACTGGACTCTTAAGTATTATATTTGATTATCTACTTTCACAAACCACGACTTTTCAGTCTTTTTGGGGGTAATTTATTGGTAAACTGTTCCATTGAAAAAAATTCCGTTTCTTTATCTAAAACTTATAAATGATCACTTTTTTTTTTCTTTCTGAGATGGAGTCTCTCTCTGTCGCCCAAGCTGGAGTACAGTGACACAATCTCAGCTCACTGCAACCTCCGCCTCCCGGGTTCAAGAGATTCTCCTGCCTCAACCTCCTGAGTAGCTGGGACTATAGGTGCATGCCACCATACCCGGCTAATTTTTTGTATTTTTAGTAGAGACAGGTTTTCGCCATGTTATCCAGGATGCTCTCGATCACCTGACCTCATAATCCGCCCACCTCAATGTCCCAAAGTGCCGGGATTACTGGCTTGAGCCACTTTGCCCAGCCTAAATGATCACTTTTTACAGTTTGTCATGTATACATATAATGTGTAGTATACTTTTAAAATGTTTCCTTCTAGCCAAAATCTGTAATAGTGGGTTAATAATTTATGGTATTTAATTCTACAAAGAGTTTTTGAGTTCGGAAAATGCCAACAAATGATGCCAGGTTAAAAAGAAAAAAGTTAACAGAAAAAGGTATATGTATATATTTATATATGAAGACACCTGAAGAAAAGCACCAAGATATAAATTGTGGTTATCTCTAGATGGTGGGTTATAGGCAATTTTAATTTTCTTTACACTTTTAGTATTTTCCAAATTCTTGATACAATATATCTTTTTTATGAACAGGAAAGAATGTTCAAATGCCTTTTTTTTTTTTTTTGAGGCAGCCTGTCTCCCAGGCTGCAGTGCAGTGGTGCGATCTCGGCTCATTGCTGACTGTGCCTCCCAGGTTCAAGTGATTCTCGTGCCTCAGCCCCCTGAGCAGCTGGGATTATGGGCATGTACCACCACACCTGGCTAATTTTTGTGTTTTTGGTAGAGATGGGGTTTCACCATGTTGGCCAGATCAGTCTCAAACTCCTGCCCACAAGTGATCTGCCTGCCTTGGCCTCCCAAAGTGCCGGGATTACAGGCCTGAGCCACCGCACTCAGCCTCAAATGCCATTTTAAAAAACCATAAGGGCTTATCGAATACATTATATTAAACACATAGTGTATGACCATTTTCCAGAATAGGAAAATGAGGCATAGAATAACTATGTTTCCTCTTTAGTATAGGCCTGGAATTGTAATTCTTATTTCAGTGCGGAGTGCATTAATTATATAGCTGGGATTATATTATTAGACATTGTACAGATCTCCTTTATGTTTTTGTTGTTCTTATCCTTTCCTTGCTGTTAGTTCTTATTGCAGTGGGCATGCTGTTACTCATCTGCCTGTTTTCCTGATTTGCTGTTTTAGATTTGCTGTGACTGAAGAAACCAGAACTGAGGTTGATAGAAAGCTATGTAAAAAAACAAAAAAAATACAAAGGCCTTAGGCTTTTGTAATCCCAGCACTTTAGGAGGCTGAGGTGAGAAGATCCCTTGAGCCCAGGGGTTTTAGACCAGCCTGGGCAATGTAGTAAGACCCCATCTCTAAAAATAAAAAAGTATAAAAAACAAAACAGGTTGGGTACAGTAGCTTATGCCTGTAATACAAGCACTTTAGGACATCAAGATGGTTGGATCACCTGAGGTCAGGAGTTCAAGACCAACACGGTCAAACCCTGTCTCCATTAAAAAATACAAAAAAATAGCCAGGCATGGTGGCAGGTACTAATCCTAGCTACTGGGGAGACAGAGGCAAGAGAAACCCTTGAACCCAGGAGGCAGAGGTT